GCGGGTCGCTAGAGGGCAGGGGGGACCATAAAATTTTCATTGATTGAAAGAAAAAGTCAATGTTTGCTAACTTTACACACACTCCATGTTTGCTAACTTTACACACACTCCACTTTACTCAACACCAAACTCTCCCCTAAACTCAACAACCTCTCTTCCCTTACCTCCACATGCAGCCCTCCCTTTAACTTAACACCCAACTCTCACCCTAACTCAAAACACCAAATTTCCCCTCAACTCACCATCCAACTCTCCCCTTAAGTCAACACCCAACTCTCCCCTTAACAACCACACTCTCTTAACTCAACATTCAACTCTCTCCTTTAACTCCACACCCACTCTCTCCTTAACCCAACATTCAACTCTCACCTTAACACCTAAACTCAACTCTCCCTATAATCTCAACTCAACTCTCCCAATAATGTTAACTCAACTTTCCCCGTAATCTCAACTAAACTCAATTCTCCCCTGAACCTCAACTCTCCCTTAATCTCAACTCAACTCTCCCTGTAAACTCAACTCAAATCTCCCTGTAATCTCAACTCAACTCTCCCTCTAATCTCAACTCTCCCCGTAACCTCACTTCAACTCAACTCTCCCCGTAACCTCAACTCAATTCTCCCATTAATCTCAACTCTCCCGGTAATCTCAACTGAACTCAACTCTTCCCGTAACCTCAACTCAACACTTTCCGTAACCTTAACTTTACTCAACTCTCCCTGTGACCTCAACTCACCTCTCCCCATAGTCTCAACTTAACACAACTCTCCCCGTAACCACAACTCAACTCTCCCCGGGTAACCTCAACTCCACTTAATTCTCCCAGTTATCTCAACTCTTCTCAAATCTCCCGGTAATCTCAACTCAACTCTCCCCGTAACCTCAACTCAACTCTCCCTGTCAACACAAATTAACTCCTAAACTTTCAAAGCAACCTTAACTTTTCCCTTAAGCTATACTCTTCCCTTAACCTCAACTCTCCCCGTAACCTGAACTATCCCCATAAACTCAACTCCCCATAACCTCAGCTCTCCCCTTAACCCATCACACGACTTTCCTCTTCAACTCTTCACTTAACTCTCCCCTAACTAAACTAGAATGAAAAATGGTTTATTGAAAATATCATAGGAAAAAGTTTAAGAAATTCAGCAGGTTAATTAAATGTTCACAACACAATATAAAGTTGGTGATTGACACGTCCCTTCCAAGTGATTATATATGCATAATGTCTGTTCTTCTAATACACATCCATAGTTTGAAGTATGTTTCCTGAAATATAAAGATGAAATATAAAGAAATACACATTTTATTATATCTTTTTTTTTCAACAAATAATTTTTCAACTTGGCACTGTATTCTTATTTTCTTAAATAAAGACATCACCTCTGATAATTTCAGCAGAAAAGGCAGTTGAGAATCACAATGTAAAGTTAATAACTAACATCTGAAAATATTTATTTACTTCACTGCGTTTGAAACTGATGTATCATAATTATACAATTATTAACCAAACAATTAAATGTGGATTAACATTATTTTTCAAATACCATTTGTTTTTCCTAAACAATTGATCTATGGTAACACTACAAGGCATGATTATAAAGATCAAAAAGATATAAAATTCTTTAAGGAAGAAAGACGTTGTGGGAAATTATGAAGTTACCTATGACTGCCATGTATATATGTAGTTTCTGTCATCTTTATCAGATCTGTATCTGCTACTGGATTGGTTTCCCTGAAACAACAATCATATAATTTCTGGTAAGTGTTGGATTGTAGCTTTAAGTGCAATATGTTCTTTCTCCCTGAGATTTCTGCACTTCTTTTCAGTGAGATCTATTTACCTACATAGTTTCATGTTTTATACCTTTTATAGTTCTCAAATTATGTCTCGGACAATGTTCAAAAGGTATAAATGAACAAAGGGCAATAACTCCAAAATTAGGGCAGGGAGGGTTATGGTTCTTCTGCACTGCACTTCTACCCAAGGCTATATACCGCTAAAGTTTCACGTTGATACCTTTTATAGTTCTCAAATTATGTCCAGGACAAAATTCAAAGTGTCAAAATGAAAAAGGGCGAACAACTTCTCAACTGCACTTCTACTCTTTCAAATGTATCAGTTTCATGTTGATACCAGGTTATATAGTTCCCAAGTTATGTCCCAGACAAAGTTCAAAGTGTAACAGTCAACAAAGGGCAATAACTCAACTCCAAAATAAGAGAAGTGATAATAACTGTTATTAAACACTGCACTTCCACTATCTAAGATCTATCTACCTACAAAGTGTTAAGTTGATATGTTTCATAGTTCTCAAGTTATGTCACAGACAAAGTTCTAAGTGTAAAAAGGAACAAAGGGAAATAACTCCAAATTAGGCAAGGCAGAGTTAAAGTTCTTTTGCCATGCACTTCTACTCAATAAGATCTATCTACCTACACAGTTTCTTGTTAATAACAAGAAACCCCTTGTGGTTTTAAAGTTATGTCCCAGGCAAAGTTTTAAGTGTTAAAATAACAAATGACAATAACTCCAAAATTAGGCAAGACAGAGTTTTGTTTTTTTGCACTGCACTTTTACCCAATGTGATCTATCTACCTAGAAAGTTTCATGTTGATACCTCTTATAGTTTTAGAGTTATGTCAAAGTGTAAAAATAAAAAAGGGCAATTACTCCAAAATTGAGCAAGACAAAATTATGATTATTAAGCACTGCACTTCTACAAAATGAGATCAATCTATCTATAAAGTTTCATGTTGATATCTCTTATAGTTTTAAAATTATGTCCAAGATAAAGTTCAAAGTGTAAAAATAAACAAAGCGCAATTACTCTAAAATTAGGCAATATAGAGTTATGGTTCTTTTGCACTGAACTTTTACCCAATGCGATATATCTACCTACAAAGTTTCATGTTGATATCTCTTATAGTTTTAGAGTTATGTCATTGACAAAATTCAAAGTGTAAAAATAACAAAGGGCAGTAATTCCAAAATACATTTACTCAATGAGATCTATCTACCTACAAAGTTTCATGTTGATTCCTCTTGTTGTTTCAAAGTTATGTCTTGGACAAGAATAGCAAACAGACAGACAAAGCGACAACTATGGGGAGCATAAAAATTCAAAGTTATCAAAAGAACAACATTATTATAAGTTATATTTCCTATAACTTGCCAATGCAACCACATGAATTCATCACAATCACATCTACTGACTTCTTAAAGGAACTCCACTGAGGTTTTATGACATGATGGGACTGAAAATATTTTTTCAAGATAAATGTACCATTTGATGTAGGTTTAGACCACTAATCTTTGTGCAAAATTTCAGATCATTCGCGCACTTCATTTTTCCAGAATAATTATTCAAATTGTAAAAAAATGACCGAAAATGAAAAGCATTTAAACGCTTTTCACTCAAATCGGGATAAGAAAAGCATAAAAATACGATTTTCAATTTATTTCAAAGTACATTTCTTAACTATTTTAAGAAATTCAAATGTTATGCTTTAGGCTTTTAAACCTCAGTGGAGTCCCTTTAAACCTGTCAAGTGTGACCGTAGCCTCGTGATGTCAAGAGTGTTAACAATCAATACGCAATACTGTATAAGTGGATTATTTTTGCATCACAAAAATTTTGCAAATGTCAAAAAGGGGAATTTTTGCATGCGGAAATACTTGTGAAAATATGATTCCTTATATTTTATATCTATAATCAAGCAGGTACATGTTAAGATGTTTTATCAAGTTAATCACTGCTTTATCATTATGAATGCATAAAATTGTTTCAAAAAAGGCACAAACCCTTCAGTAGTTATGGAGATACCAGCTTACAAGCAAAAACTTTATCAAGAATTTCTAAGCAGAAAAGGTGCATGATTATAAACAAGAGGGCCATGATGGCCCTGAGGTCGCTCACCTGTATATAGGGCCCCGGAGCGAGGCCAGTTTAAACCCCAGGGCTTTTATTTGAACAAACTTGGAAGACACTCATTAGAAGATGTTTCACAATGTTAAGTTTTTATTTCACAATGTTAAGTTTTTACTACACACATATAATGAAAAACAAAGATCTCTCCTCCCCTCCTCCCCTGGCAGGGCCAATTTTCACCCGAGGGCTTTTATTTGAACAAACTTGGTAGACAATCCATTAGAAGATATTTCATGCTAATCATCTAAGCTCTAGCTCATTGGGTTTTTTAAAAGAAGATTTTAAGTTTTTACTATACACATATAGTTAAAAACAATGACACCCCTGGGGGCAGGGCCAGTTTTGACCCAAGGGCTTTTTTCTCGAACAAACTTTGTAGACACTTTACTAGAAGATGTATCATGCTTAATATCTAAACTCTAGCTATTTGGTTTTTTCAAAGAACATTTTTTTAAATTTTACTATATGCAAATAGAGTAAAAATCAATGACCCCCCCCCCCCAAGGCGGGGCCAAATTTGACCCACAAAGGCTTTTATTTGAACAAAACTTTGTAGACACTCACTAGAAGATGTTTCATGCCTCATATCTAAACTCTAGCTATTTGGGTTTTTTCAAAGAATATTTTTTTAAGTTTTTACTATATGCATATAGGGAAAAACCATCAATGGACCCCCTGGGGCGGAGCCAATTTTGACCCCAGGGCTTTTATTTGAACACACTTTTGGTAGACACCCATTAGAACATGTTTCATGCTAAAATATCTTAGCTCTGGCTCTTTGGGTTTCTATAAAAGAAGATTTTTTAAGTTTTTACTATAATGCATATAGGAAAATCAATGACCCCCCCCCCAGGGGGGGCCAAATTTTTTACCCTAGGGCTTTTATGTTGAACAAACTTGGTAGACACCCATTAGAAAATGTTTTCATGCTTAAATATCTTAGCTCTAGCTATTTGGGTTTTTTCAAAGAATATTTTTTTAAGTTTTTACTATATGCATATAGGGAAAATCAATGACCCCCCTGGGGCGGGGGCCAATTTTGACCCCAGGGCTTTTTATTTGAACACACTTGGTAGACACCCATTAGAAAACATGTTTCATGCTAAATATCTTAGCTCTGGCTCTTTGGGGTTTCTATTTAAAAGAAGATTTTTTTAAGTTTTTACTTTTAATGCTATGTAGGGAAAATCAATGACCCCCCCCCCAGGGCGGGGCCCCCAATTTTTACCCTAGGGCTTTTATTTTGAAAAAACTTGGTAACACCCATTAGAAAATGGTTTCATTGCTAAATATCTTAGCTCCTAGCTCTTTGGGTTTCCCTTTAAAAGAAAAGATTTTTTCAGTTTTTACTATATACTTATGGGGAAAAACAATGACCCCCACTGGGGCGGGACCAATTTTGACCCCAGGGGGACATTTAATTTGAAACAAAGACTTGGGTAGAAACTTACTAGAAGATGTTTCATGCCAAATATCTGAAAACTCTAGCTCTTAAGGATTTTTTTTTAAAAGAAGATATTTTTAAAGTTTTTTTCTTTCGGTTTTGCCATGGCAAACCCAAAAGAGTTCTGCATGGAATTAAAAATTCTTTGAAACAAAAATTTTTAAACGACTGACCACCAAAAGAACATTCCTGTTAAGAAGTTTGGAATGGAAAATTGGGGCTTAGTTGGTTTTTATGAGGAGATGTCATTTAAAGTTAAAAGTTTACGGACGGCTTGGACAACGGAAGATACGGACAACCACAGACGAAAAAGCGATCCACAAAAGCTCACCCTGGTAACTTTGTGAACAAGCGTGTGAGCTAAAAAAATAGCGTGACAAATCCAACTATAAAGATATAGGTAACATACCTTTGCTGTTTTGTACATTGTTGTTTTTGAAATACCCAGTCTTATGATGCTATACTGTCCACAAGTTTTCCTACACTTCCATGTCTTATTCATACAAAAAAATTTATCACATGTAATTTATATATAAAAAATCTTTTTTGTTTCAAGGTTAATGCCTCCATACACCTTACCCTGCTTAAACCGAAAGAGATAAGTTTTTACCATCAAATATGAAGCCAGGCCAGTCTATATATCTATGCCATCTCTTACTGTTGGCTAATTAAGTTGAATTTTAAATTTTCATCTTGATATCCCCAAAATGACCAATGGACAGTTCCAAAAATGGGACGTAGACCAGTTTATTCAATAAATTCAGCAGATTTTAAGGTTGAGATATCAAACAATAGTTTTAACCCCAGGGCTTTTATTTGAACAAACTTGGTTGTATATGTATGCATATATATATATATACATTTGTATATATATATATATATAAATAAAACAAAAAACACAGTCCATGAGTTAACTTATTTTAATTATTTGCCAACCGGTTTCTTCTTATGATCATCAGGGCAAATGTGACGTTGTCGCATAGTAACGACGACGTTTTTGTGTACATTACATGTGTACACATAATCTAAAAAAAATAGTAACGTCATTATATTAGTATTAAGTTTTGATTAAAAACATCAATAAAATAGCGTTTCTTTAGATAACCTAGCTGAAACGTTTTTCCACTGTGAAATTTTTATAAAATGGCAAAATACAAATAAAGTATATATATATATATATATATTATATATTTAATATATAAATATTAAATATATATGTGTATATATATAATATGTAATATCTAAAAAAAAAAAAGTCAAAGCTAATGAATGACCCCCCGGGGGCCCAGGGCCAATTTTGACCCCAGGGCTTTTATTTGAACAAACTTGGTAGACCACCCATTTGAGAACATGTTTCATGCTAAATATCTTAGCTCTAGCTCTTTTGAGTTCTTTTAAAAGAAGATTTTTTTAAGTTT